CCCCGGTGCTAACGATTGGCATTTGACGATCGGCCGGTGCCGTCCGGCCTGCATGAAAATCCCGTCCGAGCGCCGATGCAGAGGGCGCCTCGGCCAGCGTGCTCAGAAACGTGTTGTTGAGCGGCGTGCGCGCGTCGGCCAGCCCGGGCGACATGGCGCCCGCCGCAAGGGCGAAGCCCGACCCCTGGCCCACCGGTATCGATGGCGGCGTCGACGGCTGCGTCGTGCCGAGCCGGTTGGCAGCGGCGGCGTAGGCTGAATCGCTCGAGTGCTCCGCAGAGCCTCGGTCCCGGCCGTGGTGCGCACCTCGGCCACTCCCAATCGCGATGGGCTCGACCGAGCCACGGCGTAGGGCCGCGCGTGCGGGATCGTTCGCTGGGCTGTCGCCGTCGCCGTCATCGACGTCGACGTCATCGCCGTCATCGAGCTGTTGATCTCTCCCTGCCCTGCCATGCCTCTCGTCGTCGTCGTCGTCGTCCCCTTGCGGCCGGAGGGGCGACATCGACGGGTGATCCTCGTCGAGCATCTGACCGACCACGGCCTCCTCTTGGGCGTCCGTGATCCTTGCCTGCCCGGAAGCCTCGGCGGTGGCGGCGTAGTCCGGCAGCGGTCCGACGCTCGAACCGACCGCGGTGTCGGGCCGCGCCCACTCGGCTCGCCGCAGAGCAGAGACGGCCGTGCCTCGCCCCATGCCGCTGCCGGTCAGTCGGGCCGGGATCGGGCTGCTGCTGGAGGCGGCGGCGGCGCCAGCGCTGCTCCCGCCGGATGACAGCGTGGTGGCCTCGAGCGTGGCGGCCAGGGCGATGGGGGCGTCGACCTCGGCCCGAGGAGTTGCGACGTCGACGGCAGGCTGGCCCTCGGCTGCGCGCGACTCGGCGGCGGCGGCCTCCTTGAGCAGCGCTTCCTGCCACGCCTCGTCCTCCTCGACGTCGGCCTCGAGGTCGGCAAAGGTGCGGCAGAGCGGGCACGAGAAGCCCGGGTGGTGGAGCGTGAGGAGCGGGCGGATGCACTTGTAGTGGAAGACGTGCGAGCACGGCGCGATGAAGAGGGCCTGGCACACGGTCACCGAGAACAGGCCTGACGGTGATGGTCGAGGAGGGGCGACAAGGGCGAAAGAAGAGAGGGGAGAGGGAGGGACGACGAGGGCAAGGACAAGTCGAGGGGCAAGGACGCGTCAGAAGGCAGGGAGCAAGTGCCGGGCCGTCTGCGTCGGCCCAGGCAACTCACAGATGCAGCAGTCGGTCACGCTGACGCCCTGGCGGTTGGTCGGCAGCAGCTCGGCGTCGCGGTCGCGGTCCTTGCCGCCCGCCGCGCCGCCGCTGGGCGTGTGGAGCGGCGTGCCCTGCAGCGCCCGCAGCTGGCGCAGCGCGTTGACGTTGAACTGGTTGGCCTCGCGCTGCCAGCCGCGGTTGAGCTCGACGCGCATCTTGACGCAGCGGTAGATTTCCTCGGTGCCGCCCTGGTAGTCGACGCCGAGCTGGATGACGTCTCCGTCCTTGATGGCAAACGGCCGGCTCTCGACGTTGGGCGCCGACAGCCGGATGTGGTTGAGAAAGGTTCCGGAAGACGACTTGGTGTCCTTGATGAAGAAGCGGCCGCCGGGCTCGCACCAGATCTCGGCGTGGCCGCGGCTGACGACCTTGCTCTTGAAGGCGACGCGCGACGAGTCGATGCGGACGCCGCCGACGCCGCCGCCCTGGCCGGAGCTGACGGTGATGGCGCCGCCGCGCGCTCCCGGCTGGCCGATGGCCGAGTACGACGGCTGCTCGGACCCGGCACCGGACCCGGCACCGGCCCCCGTGATGGCGGATGGCGAAGGGGCGCCCGGGTCTGCGACGGCGACGGTGGCGTTGGCGGATGCGGGGGGCTGGCGGTCGGTGAAGCGGCCCACCTTGACGGGGGTCTTGCCCTCGCCGAGGTCCCTCTCGATGGGCTCAAAGTGGAGCGAGCGCGTGGCCTCGAGGTGCGGGACGAGGCGGATGCGGTGGACGTTGGGAGCAGGGCTGGAGCTGGACCCGGAGCCAGTCGCTGCGGCGGCGGCGGCGGCGGCGGCGGCGGCGGTTGCCTCTGCGGGCGCAGTGTCGATGGCAGCAGCCGATGCCCCGCCGGAGGATGCTGCCGCCGCTCCTTCCGTGACTGGGCTACCGTTGGCGTGGGCGGGGGCCGGGTCTGACAGGACGGCGAGGGTGCGCGAGTTGGTGAGCGAGCCGGGGCTTTCATGGTTGGGCAGGACGAGGCTGTTGTACGAGGCCGACTGGGGCATAGCGGGCGAGGGCGACGCGTGTCGGCTGGAACGCGGCGGGGTGCTGCGGCCTCGCTGCTGCTGCTGCTGCTGCTGCTCGACGTGGGAGCTGGAGCTACGGTGCGAGTGCGAGGCTTGGCCGGTGTTGGCACTGCCATCTCTGCCTACGAGGGCCTGCGCCTGCGCCTGTGCCTGGGACTGGGACTCGAAGCGGCTGGCGCCCTGGCTGTACCGCCTGAACATGCGGCCAAAGGGGTTGCCGCCACCGCTTGTGCCACCGCCGCTGGTGTAGCCGCTGCCCGCGTTTCGGGAGGCGGTGGCTCCGGAATCCGCTGCGCTGCCGCTGACCATGCTGGAGGGCGATGCGCGGGACGATGAGGGGTGAGGGTCGGTGGACAAAAAGGAGCGGGTGGCACCGAGGTCGTTGGCCGTGGCTGGGCGCAGTCGGCTGGCGGCGGTGCCGGTGTGAGTGGGACGCTCCGACGAGGGCCTCGAGATGGCGTCGGACGAGGCTGCAGCGGGGAAGGCGTGGGAGGAGGATGAGCTGCGCGGGAGGGGGAAGCGTGGGGTGGTGCTGTTGTTGCTTGCGCTGCTGCTGCTGGTGCTGTTGCGAGGCTGTGCGGCGGGTGCGACGAGGAGGCCGCTATCCTGGCTGTAGGAGTGGGCGGTCTTTGGGCGCCGTCCAAAGTGGCGGCCGAGGAATCCCGAGGCGGTGGAGGAAGGGTTTGCGGGAGCCGAGCTTGGCTGTTGTTGGTAGAGTTGGTGGTTGGGCGAGGTGGCACTGGAGGTGGCCGTGGAGACGCCGGGGCGGGACATGGAACGGCTAGTGCGGCTTGCTAGGGGATGAGTAGCGCTGGCGGGCTAGTGATTTCGGGACGGGGTGGGGGTGAGCGGGCGGCCAAGCAGAGGCATGGGCTGGAACGATGCGATGTTGGCGATGGCGATGGCGATGGCGATGGCGATGGCGATGGCGATGGCGATGGTGATGGCGATGGTAATGGCGATGGCGAAGGCGATGACGTTGGCGATGACGACGGGCGGGAGCGAGGGCGGGGTATCAAGAGTCAAGAGGGGGGCCGCGGATGGTGGGAGACGAGGTGACGGATGTGAAGCGGGGGGGTCGCTGCGAGTGGCAGGCCAAGGCCGAAGGTGGCGGGGAAGGGAGAGGTAGGGAGGGTGGCCTTGGGAGCTGTCGCGAGCGAGCGAGCGAGCGAGCAAGTGGCGGTGATGGTGGTGATGATGGCGGTGATGATGGCAGGGAGGGTCAAGGCGGGGGGTGCGTGAGCCGAAGCAGACTAGGCAGAGAGAGGCAGCCAGCCCCCCACGCGTGGCCAGGCCAGGCCGCCGCCTGTCAGTCAGGTCGAGTCGAGGGCCGAGGGGGAGACAACGGCGGGTGCCTGGCTGGCAGGCTGGCTGGCTGGCTGGCTGACTGCCCGCCCGCCCCGCTGTCGTCGGAGTCGGCCTGCCGCAACAGGCAGCGGCAGCGGGGGGCCGACAGCCTGCAGCCAACCCAGCCAACGCAGCCCACGCAGCCAGCCAGGGCGAGGGCGAGGGCGAGGGCGAGGGCGGGCACCCTGGCGTGGCCTGCTTGCCTGGCGCCTGCCTGCCTTGGCTTGGCCTGTCCGCCTGCCTGTCTGGTTGGCCTCGCGTGGACGGAGCTGTTGGCCAGCTGGGCGGAAGGGCTTCGGATCCGATGGTCGGCAGGTGGAGCCAGCAGCCGCCGCCGGAAATTCCAACTTTTTTTCTCGTTTGGGCGGGGCGGCCTTTCTTCTTGCTCCTCGCTCCTCGCCCCTCGCCCCTCGCCCCTCGCCCCTCGCCCCTCGCCCCTCGCCCCTCGCCCTCGACCGCCACCGCTGCTCCTCGTCTTGGCCACCACCATCGCGGCAGGGGAGAGCGCAGCGACACACACACACACGCACACAGTACGCCGGCACACACGCCGAACCGCTCCCCCTCGATCGCCGCCGACAGTGCCCCGTCCGCCCCTCTTCTCGCCTCGTCGACTGCCGCGCATCGCAACTTAATCTTCCCGCCTTCCCCCCGCTCCCGGGGCTCCCCTCCCCACCATGGCGTCGTCCCTCGCCGCACAGCTCGCCAATGTGCGCTCCTACAACGCCGACCGCCTCTCGGCATCCTCGGCCATCGCCTCCAAGGTATCCTACCTCTTCCCGCCAAAGACGGCCGTACAGCAGGACCTCTTCACCCTCCACGCCCTCGCCACCAGCGGTTGGAACGAGCTATGCTCCCAGGACGCCGCCTTTGCCTCCTGGCGCAGCGCAAACCTCCTCTTTGGCGAAGAGAGCAGGCAGCGCGACCGCCTCATGCTCGACCAGCAAGAGAACAACGACATCGACGCCGCCGTCGGCCACTTCCTCCAGCTCGCCGGACCCGTCCTCCTCTCAAAGGCGGCCTCAAAGTGCATCGAGTGGCTCGTACGCCGCTTCCGCGTACACGAGTTCAGCGTAGACGACCTCCTCGCCGCCTTCCTCCCCTACCACCAGACGCCGCAGTTCGCCCGCATCCTCAGCATCTCCAAGATCGACGGCAAGCCCCACCTCCAGTTCCTCCTCGCCGTCAAAAAGTCAAACGCCCCTCTCCCCGCATCGGCGCTCCAGGCGGCCCTCCTCGCCCCCCACCAGACCACCGCCAGCCTCGACCTGCTTCGCTGGGTGGCTGGCCTCGTACACCCCTCGGACCGGGCACCCGCTGCTTCCTCGTCATCGTCCTCGTCGTCGTCCAAGCTCGCCTCTGCTGCCGCCGCGTCTGCCGCCCAGCCGCACCGCATCCTCGTCAGCTTCTGGACCTCGACGCTCGTCCAGATGTGCGCCAGGTGGGCAGGACAGCAGCAGAGCGGCCAGCTCGGCGCCGGCGGCCTCTCGCGCTCGACGGCCAACAAGAAAAAGTCGGCGCGCGCAAAGCAGGCAGACGCCCAGTCGATCCTCACCGTCCTCCTGCCCGCAGCCGTCCAGGTGGCCAGCAGCGCCCAGCTCGGACTCGACGCCCAGGTCGGAGGCTACATGCTCCTCTGCTCGATCGCCGCCGCCTTCCCGCTCAGCCGGCAGGCGGTGCAGGGCATCTTTGGCAGCCTCGCAAAGGGTCTCCACAGCGCTCGGGGCGACCGCCAGCCGCACCCGACCCTGACGCGCGCCATGCTCGCCGCCAGCTACGCCCTCTGCGCCAGCCCAGACGACGTCGAGGACCCGCTGACGCTGCGCTCCCAGGCCGCCGACCGCCTGGTGCCGGACAGCATCGCCCGCGCCCTCGTCGCCTCGTCCTCGAGCGACCTGCTGGCCACCCT